ATATATATTGTGTTTAGTATATTAATTTTTTTTGGATGTCTCTATTTATATATGATTATTAGTTTTTTTTTATGTTTTAATATGAAATTTGTTAAGCTCTCATATCCTCTCTCTCTCTCTCTCTCTCTCTCTCTCTCTCATTCTCTCTCTCTCTTCCTCTCTCTATAGTTTGTTTTGGTTGTAAACATTGAAGGTTTTTTTTTTGTTGTTTCTATATATAAATATAAAAAATCCTAATGGCATGACATGTAACTATTCTAGATTCAAGTGTCACATGTGTAAATCATAAAGTTTAGGGCTCTAAAGTGTCAAACATGTAAATATATAAGATCTGAGTGATTTGCTCGTAAAATTTTAACTTTGGGTATCAAACGTGTAAATACATGAGATCTAAGTAATAAGCATGCAAACACACAAAGTTTTGGTAGCATGCATGTAAATCCATGAAATTTGTTTGATGTACATGTAATTCATCCAAAGTTATGAGTGGCATAAATGCAAACAGTCAAAATAATGGTATTAAATATATGAATATGTAGGAATAAGGTGATATATACTTGATCTTCAGAGTTTAGGTGTTAAATATTTGGACTTACGAAAATAAGGTGACGCATACATAAACAAAGAAAAGAGTTTAAGTTGGTTTATATGTAAATACATAAGAGTTAAATTGTAGGTATGCAAATTTTCTTTTTTGTTTTTTGAAACAAGCTTAAGTGTTAGGCATGTCAGACATAGGAAGAAGTTGGTATGCATGTAAATTATAAGCATTACAACACTATGCATGTTGATATAAAAACTTAGATGCTGGACATGTAAATCAATTGAAAAAAATGCATTCTTATCTTGGTGGGAGCTTACGACATAGGTGCTTGAAGAGGATGGATGGCTGCTTGGGAGAAGGTGTGAAGGGTGATAGAAAAACATAAAAGAGGAAGTTTGAGAGGGGAGCTCATGATAAGGAGCGTTGGAGTGTGAAGTTTGAATGCTGTTTGTTTTATTTTGGAGGAGTGAGGTGGCTTTTGGTTTGGATCATGAAGCTTCATTGGCTGGAGGAAAGAGAGGGTTCAGAGCTTTGGATTTCATGGGTTGAGAGGGAAGAGAGCTGCGTCGCATTGGAAGGAGTGTAGAGGCTTGGGAGGCCACGGTTTAGGATGGGGGAAGGGTGAGTTTGGGCTGCGCGTTTTGAGAGGGAGAGTAAAAGAGTGTGAGGTGTGAATTGAATTGTGATCAAAGGTCCTCACAGGGCATCTCTAATGCTTATAGGAACTCATCTTGAGCTTCAATGTGTTGGTCTTAATTGACTCAACCAAGAGTTGAGGATTCAAGACCATAAACATGAGACTATCAGGAGTCAAGAAATGATTTGAATTTCTAAATAGTATGAGTTTCAATACTAGTATGCTATGAGAGTCAGTAGGGAAGTCTTATGACTGGATCCTAGACTCTAGAGAGGGAGACATACCTTACCAAAGATGAGGTCGACAACTGTTTATGATAAAAGGTAATTTCTTTTACTATACTACTATGTTGTTTATAACATAATCAGTCATGAGTACACATTTCATACATGAAAACAAATATTAAATTTAGAGATTATACAATAAAACTGACGCATCACTAAAGAGTGAGTAAGAATCAAAATAAAAAATAAAATTATTGAAATAACAATTAATATTAACATAATGTTGAGTTCAAAATGCAGATGATTAATTTAACAATATAATCTCTGATCCAATGAAACTCTCAACGCCCGATCACTATCGGATGTGAAATCATTAAACTTATTTACCCACCTGAAGAAGTCACATTTTTCTGATTTATTTCTTGGACACCTGTAAAATTTTCTCCCATAGTTATGCTTTTATCACAAAGTAAGTAGAGAACACTACAGTCCATAGTAGCAGTACAATACTTTAGAGGCACCAAAAGTTCTCGAGCTCATCTTTTCTGAAGGTTTAAAACCACAAAATACAGACCCTTAGATGTAGTATTAGTAAAAAAGAATAATAGAAATACAAAAATAAAATTTTATAAAGTTTTGAGGTCTCAGAGCACAAAATATAAACAATAAATAATTTGTCATTACAAGAAGATAGTAAACCTTATAAAAAAAGGCTTATGGTTGCCTTGAACCATTTAATACTAAGTTCGTTTGTGTCACAAAAACATAACAACATAAAGTCTATCCCGAAGAACTCCTAAGATCATTTATGTATTATAGATCTCTTACTTATCTTTTCTGAAGATTTAAAGCCACAAAACACAAACTCTTAGATGCAACATTAGTCAACAAAGAATAATAGAAATACATAAATAAAATTTTATAAAGTTATGTGATCTAACAGCACAAAGTACAAACCAACAAATAATATGCCACTATAAGTAGATAACATACCTTTTAAAAAATAAGGATTATTACTTGTCGTTAAACCACCTGATATCAAACACATATGTGTCACAGAAGCATATCACCACAAATGCCATTCGAAAAAACCAAAAAATAAGGGGTTCTTGGTTGCCTTTAAACCATGTAATACCGATCTTATATGCATTGAAAAACATATCACCACATGAACCATCCAAAAAAACCCCTAAGATCATTTATGTTATCATAGACCTAAAAAGATACACAAGAAAAAAAAAATCCATATTAAACTCACGATTGTCTAGAGGTCATCCATGTGAGAGAGGAATAAAAAATTATTTGCACAGAATCAAAATTCCATACGAACATTATTGTCAATAGCGTCATTACAATAAACAATAGTTGCTTTTGCAACACATTACATATATAAAAAAACATGAAGTTCACAAAATCTTTTTATACATCAACTATTGCACTTATAATTTATTCTCACAACTCTATCATCAACCCAACACCTACAAGAGTCATGTAAATCCGATTTAACTTTTAATCTTGAATGACCTAGGTGATGTTCGTAAGCCTCGGCGGAGACATGTGATTGGGCCTCATCTGCAGTATTAAAATCAATATCACTATGTAAAAGATACCGACCAATGTAGTTGTTGAGAGTCATCGTAGTGACCACAACTTCAATTACTTGTTAAAAATATAGATGGACATATCGTGTAAAATAACCCATTTTTTCGAAGCTCAAATGCTCTTTCAATAACACATAGAAAGATAAGTATCTCTTATTAAATATCCCATTTCTGTCTAGTTCCTATAATAAATCAATACATATGAATTGTGTCGTATGTGTGACCCGCAAAAGATTCTTGGACTCCAGAGACATGAAAGAAGGTTTTTTATTTTGCGTCCCGTAACGAAAGTCGGGCCCATTAACGACTCGAAATCTCCCTCCAACTAGAGGACACGGATACAAATGGCGGAAGGTGAGAGTTCGTCTACACTGACCACGCCTCAGGAAATCAACGCAGTAAGCTATGATCGTCAGGCGTTTATAAGCTACTTCCGGTCAAAGTACCGAAGCAGAATGCACATTTTTATTTCAGGGGGAAAAAAAGGGGTAAAAAAGGGGGGACCGAATGCAGCAGAGTTCATGTGAGCGCCACCGGCCGCTCTCTTCCTCTCCTTTCTTCGTCGGCCTTAAAACCCTAACGCGGGAGCGGTAGAGAAACCGTAGTGAAGTCTTGAACGCCTTCGATGTCTTCTCGACTGCAGAGGTCGAGCATCTCACCCTTCCGATCGCGTAAGACCTCCTCGGCCCCCGGATCAAAGCCTGGAGCTCGCCCGACGACCCCCTCCACAGGTGGCGTCAGACCCACAACGCCGACGTATTCTTCTACTAGTCGGCAGACGACGCCGTCTTCTTCAGCGTCCTTAGCGGCGCCAGTGCGCGGCCCGGGAAGCTCTAGGATCTCGCCCGTCTCCGGTTCCAATTCTTCGTTCTCGTATCCGGGCATTGAGCAGCCTGAATTTCACAAATCCGAGGAGAATGTCACGGTCACGGTCCGATTCCGGCCACTCAGGTAGAGTTATGCTGATTTATCTATCGCTTTCGTTAATGTTTCTTACTAGGGAGTATTGAACTGTTGGCGTTTCGACTTGGGTGCTGGAAGTCCGCGAGAGATCAGTAAAGGGGATGAGATAGCGTGGTATGCTGACGGCGACTTTAATGTTCGGAACGAGTATAATCCCAGCATTGCTTATGGATTTGGTAGGTTTCTATTTTCTTTTTGATTTAATCCATGCTCGACATCATGGCATGTATTGCTCTAACGGGCTTATTTTAAACGGCGATGTGGTTAGAATGGAAAGCATTCGTAGTTCTACATTTAGAGATACATATTCACCAATAAGCAAGAGTTAATAATGACAGGTTTTAAAGACCTGTAAGCTATTGTGAATTTAAAATGACTAATGCTGAATACAAAAAAAAGTTTGGGTGAATTTTCAGACAGAGCTTCGGAGATACTAATTTGTCATTTTCTTTCTTCTTAGGCGAGAAAATAAAGTCAACTTAGTTATGAAAAAATGTTGACCATCTGATGATCCGGTTAGGTATGGAATTACTCATTCAAAATGTGTCAGTAACTTGCAACCTAGCACTTTATCTCCTAAGGAAAGCTCCCCAAAAAGTAGATGATGGAATTAGTCTCAGGCCTTCTTACTTTTTTGAAGGAGTAATGCTCTTTTCACCAGATAATTTCACGTTTAAATTGTTGCCTGTTAACTACTTATACAATATTTAATGTTCTAATAACTTTTTGTTTTTTCTTTGAATGTGTTCAACTCTTTTACCATAACACTTTAAAAGTGGTTCTACTGAGAAATAAGAACTTTAAAATAAGTTAATTTGAATCAAGTTAATTCATCCAGCTTGGCGTAAAGTTACATGTATATGTTAAATATCTTATTTCTATGTGACATATTTTATTTGTAGATTAATTCTTCATTTTGTACAATAATGTCGATGTTATGTTTTTGCTGTGCTGTGTGACATAATGTCAACATGCTTTTACGTAGAATTAATAGCTTCTCCATAAGTTAGTCAATGCAAATTAAGCCATAGAGATGATGCATATGTAAAATAGGGACTTCATAAGCATATTTCTCACTTAAACCAAAATAGTTTTTAAAAAACGTAAATGAAAGGAAAGCTATATCAATGATGCATAAATATGAAGAAACCAAGGAAAACTTTCCATGAAGCAGTTGGGAGATTTGCTTAAGCTAAATTTATTATGTGGTTTGAAGCTATGCCATTATTTAAGTTAGTGGTAGAACCAAAATTTAAATAGAGAGATGGAAAAAAAAATCATCTAATATACATCAAATTTAGAAGGTCAACTCCGAACTAACATAAGTATAGAAAAATTTTGTAAATAAGAGTAACTTTCAGTAAAAAAAAAATCATTTTTAATCCTATTATGGTTAGGCATTTTAATTGTGCATACTAGCTAGATGTTATTAATGAAGCTAGAAGAAAATCATATCCAATTTAAATTTTAAGTGCAAATTCGCGAAATGCTCAAGATAAAATTTATTTGTAAATTGTCAAATATTATCAATTTAGAATGATTGATATCCATCGTGAGGATTCACTGCTTAACTAAGAATCAATGATAATATATATATATATATAGATATATATATATATAGTTAAGTTTGTCGCAAGCCGTGGCCTGTTGGTTGGTGAGATTTACTGTAAGTTCCCTCAGATCACGGGTTCGAGTGTGTGTGTCTGTGTGTCTTCGGACATCCGATAAAATTGGAACGATACAGAGAAGATTAGAATGACCCATGTGCAAGGATGACACACATGAATCGAGAAATATATATATATAATTTTTTTTTTAGAAAAAGACCAAAGCTTAATATATTAAAAAGGAAAAGATACATGTATGTTGCATGAGAGGGTCTAAAAGAAAACCCAACTCATACAATACAACACACACAACTCCAAATAAAACAAAGATACAACATGATAAAAAATCAAAAAGCCACCAACAGACACAAAAGTGCTAGGGATATCCCACTTTAGTCTTCATTCTGCCTCTAGTTATCGGAAGGGAGGTGACTAACAAACTAGTAAGGTGCGTACCATTACCCGAATTAACCAAAATATCGCCCTTCAGATTTTTGAGTTCAAGTAGGTCTCCATTCTTCTTCTTCCTCCTGGATGTGTAGACCTGTCATTCCTCATCCGTGGATTGACTCATCCGATCAATGAATTGTTTCAAAGGTTGCCGGACAGGTGTAGGTTGTTGCACATCTTGATTCTCATGAGCCTGAGAAATATTAATATTTTGCTTGACCTGATGAGACGGTAGTGAAACAGTAGGAGTATTGCAATATGTAATATCAGTGATAGGTTCTAGAGCAGGTGGGGTCTGAAGAATCTCCCTCGCCCCCACGATTGGAGGTTCCAAAGACGGCGGAGCTACAACATTGTGTGAAGACTGAATGATTGACATATTATCTGCGAGGTTAGTGACGTCTTGAGGGGTACCCTTTTGATGATCAATAGTGTCAATAATTTGGAGCTCAACAGAAGGAGCTAAATTCTTTATCTTTGGCGGAGCGCTTTGCTTTTTTTGTCTGAGTTGGGGGTATAGATGGTGGCATTGAGAACTGGAGTGACCGAATATACGACAGTTCAAACAATAAGTAGGAAAATGCTGAATCACTATCTTTTGCCAATATCCATGGTAGTGTGTGCCCAACCAAATCTCCTTAGAAGCGGATGTAGTGATGTCTCTTTCAATAAGTACTTTGGCTTCAGATGGGCGAGAAAGATTAAAAGTATGAGTGTCCGTTTTAAGTGGTTTATCATAACCTGAGGCAATAGAGTACAACTCTTTTTTGAGTGAAATAATGAAATTTTAAACTAGAATGATTGGTCAAAATCCACATACCATTTTAAAATCTTCATTGCTCTGTTATCAATTCAGATAATCATTCTAGCAAATAAATGCGTGTAATTCTCTTTATTATTAAGTTGAATAAGAGTGTGTCTTCCATCTAAAAGTTCAATTTTTCACTCACCAACAATGTGCATAACCTTATTTTTCTTACAAATCAGCTCCATTTTGAGATGACCATACAAAAATTTTCCGACCAAATTCAGACGACCCTAAATATGCCGAACCCTTGCAGAGCGAGAATGAGGACGAGGATCGCCATATAAATTTATATATAGTTAAATCTTTCGCTCATTTATTCAAACGTGTAACTAAAGTTGTTAAAAAAATCACAAACTACACTTAATGTTGTTTTTTTTAGGTCATGTGTGTTCAACCTTTAGTATATGGATCATTCATTTAGAGTATATATTTTAAAAAAACCAAGGGCAATTATATTAAAGAGAAAAGGGTACAGATATTTGCAAAAGCATAGGGGTGGCGAGAATTCTCCCGCCCACACCCCGGCTTTTCTCTCTCTTCTCGCTCTTATGTTATTTCCTTTTGTGGTCGTCTCTATATTGTTTTGTTAAGTATTCAAACTTTTTCGGCCTTATGATTTGCATTTTCACTCATTTTAGTTAGATAGCAAACATGGGTAGCATATGACTTTCTTTGTGTGTTTCAGACAGAGTTTTTGGGCCAGCAACAACCACTCGCCATGTTTATGATGTGGCTGCACAACATGTTGTAAGTGGTGCTATGCAAGGAATTAATGGTAATTGCTTCTTTTTTTACTATTTTGCTTTTGTATTACTAATTTTTTTTGGTGATTTTGATGTGAGATTTTTGAGCTTTTTTGGCTATTGTATTTTGCAAAAAAATTGTTGAAATTTTGTAATATACTAACAGACCGAACTTGATTGGATCAACATTGTATTGAAAATTATACAATCTTTTATAGATTGTACTTCTCATCAAAGTTTTTGTTGGCTGAAGAACTACATGTTTATTGATCTTCATTTTCTTGCTGAATCAGCTCAGCTGTTTTCTTAGTTTCTCACTGTATTTTTTATTTTGTTATTTGAGTTCATTATGCCGAGTTATACACATGAGTACTCCAGTTCTGACCCTTTTTTCTTGATGGATTTTTTTGTTATGTTTTACAATTATGCTCGTGCTTTCTCAAATTTATCGAAGCATGTATTCTTAAAGAAAATTCTTTTCAACATTATGATTATGTGAAATTTGGATTATGCATTTTAGATGAGCTTTTGTTTTGTCTGATATAATATTCTTATACATATTTTACTAAGGCCTGTCTAACTAGTAGTTGGAAAGTTTTTCTTATGTGTATGATTGTAATCAATAATGATGCCAGAAAATAGTCCCTTTTGTGAAACTTTTTTGGTTTTCATGTATTTAACCAAAGCAATTGGCTGCTAATTACTTCTTCTGATGCATTGTAGGCACAGTTTTTGCTTATGGTGTTACCAGTAGTGGAAAGACTCATACCATGCATGTAAGGCTTGGGTAATTTCTTCATTGCTAAACATCCTTTTTATGTCATAGAAGACTGTTTTTTTGTTTTATTTTAATGCTTAATTAATCACTTTAACTGCTCTGGATTTGAATGTTTGTGCAAGATAACTTCTTGTATGATTTTTACTGTTGATTAGTTGTAACGTTTTGACCGTTTGTTGGAACAAATGATTCCTTATTTTTTTTCTTATTCCATGTTTATTAGCTTGGTCATTCAGGCAAGACTAAAATTTTTCTTGTAATCAACCCAACAAAGCAAAAATCTACATGCATTTCTCTGATGGTGTTCTTGTTAATACAAGGAAGAAATAAAACTTTGACTTGAGGATTTTGCAAGCAACGCGAAGGGGGCATTTGGTTTGCTGAAAAAGGATTATAGTCTAATTGAAATGTAGTGTATCTAAATATTTATGATTTGTTTGGTTAGGTGTGAAAAAAAATGTAGAAGTTTATTCTTTTTTTGTATTTTGTTTGAAATAAAATGAAATTAATGTAAAATCCAATAGCTGGTCCCAACAGTGAATGCCAATAGGTCCTAGCGGTACCGTTCAATAGGTGTTGGCGGTTGGTGGCTTGCAAGTGGGTGATTGCTGGCAACGGCGGTCTGGTGATGGTCTGCAGTGCCTAACACCAGTTGCTAGCAGGCAACGGCGGTCAGGTGATGGCCTGAAGTGCTCAACAATTGGTGGCGGTGGTGCTCAGTAGCTACGGTGATAGTTTTGTAATGTATTTGAAAATTCTCTGAATCTGACATGTACTGGGAACACATCACAATTGAACTATTGAGTGAGTTTGGAATTCATTGAAAAATTATTCAATATTTCAAAATTTTCCAACCAAGCACTAAAATTCTCAAAACACTTGCATTCCAAGTGCAATATACCCATTTTACAACCAATCAAACTGCCCAAAAAAAAAAACTCCGTCAATTCTTTTTTAATGTAAATAAAATGTATATTGTTAAAATGACTACATGATTATGAAGACACAATCATACTAAATTTTAATAAATCATAATCACGGCTGTAGGAAGATGGGAATGGAAAAGTGAAAACTTATGCAGCTTTTGTTGGGGCGATCTTTTTTAGGGCTTTGATTTTTAGACTGCTGCCACACCCCCACGTTTGAATACCACTTTCTTGTCGCTTTCCCGATATTTTTGTGGAGGGAAGTTGATTTTTGCAATTAAATATGCTAAAGTGCGGGAGCCTTAAGAAAAAAATTTGTACTACCTTTTAAAAAAATATAATCCTTATAATATTTTTCTAAAAAATTACCTTTCCTACAATATCTTTTCAAACATATTTATAAAAAATTTTAGCCTGCCCAAACGATACCAAAATCTAAACCAAATAAATAAAGAAAATATCCTCTGAAGATTATTATAGTACTTGTGGTGCTGTAATTTGGTCTACTAACTCATGAGGTATACGTTTGAAAATAATGTTGAAAATAATAGATAAAAATCATAAAGCAGCTTCTCATCTTCTTCCCGATCATTTTCTAGTGTGGGTCAAATGGGTGTCTGGACAAGAAATTCCATAAAGAGATAAAAAAGATGAAAAAGATGAATAGAACTTAAGAAGATCAGAAATGGCTAGGTGGCAATTACATTAATTATTATTATTATTTTTTTGGCATCACACTTGAAAGAAGGCATGCATTTCACATACATGGGTGAAAAATATGGAGAAAAGTGTCCTTCATCAAAATAACATAACCTCCAAGAACTGCATGATAAGCCATTATACCAAATATCTTTAATGCCAAAAAGCCATTCTATCGAGTTCAAACGAAAATCATCCAAACAAAAGAAAAAAAAAGTCCAAAATTTTTCTGCCTAACTAACAGGATTTGATGTTCTAACAAAATAAATAAATCTTAGTACTTGCTTATCTGACAGGATAATGTATCTGTCTTGGTTTAACTTATCCATATTGATTCTCTAGAGGTCCACCTCACCCTTGATCACTCGATACACTGTCTACAAAACCAGTTTGTGTGATCCCTGTGTGCTTCATACTTAATAATCCTATATTTTCTTACTCCAATTTCTCCTAAATAATTCTTTTTGAAGGTTTTTCATGATGATACTATATTCGTGTAGGCAATCTGTTTGTTTTGGATTTGATGTACGCTTTTTATGAAGGCAAAATTATTTCAGATTGGTGCATCCTTTCAACCAATTGGAAGTGTATGCCTACCTGATTATGAGAATTGCTGAGATTTTTTTTATTTACTTGATATCTAAACTAATAGCAATCAAAAGCGGAATAATCTATCAGTAATGAACAAAACATAGAGTGATAAGGGAGTTTACCCAAATCACAATGGAACGTAGATATCATTGCTGAAAACTCAAATGGATTACAACAAGGTTTTTAAAAGCGGAATAAAACAACACAAAACGCTCAAACGACCCTCTAGGGTGAGTGCAGTAGGGGTGGACACCGGTTGGACAATAGGTGGGATGGTGTGTTGGATGATGCAGGTGCAGGAGGGCAGGTTAGAGGGGGTGGCAGTAGTAGCAGGTTATCATGGAGGGCTTGCGATAGTAGCTGGAGAGATTGGAGGGGGTTATGCCATTAGAGGGCTATGTTGGAGGGATTGCAACAACATGTAGAGGGATTGGAAAGGGTTACAACAGTAGTTGGATGGATTAGAGGGAGTTGCGGCAGTAACTAGAAGTATAGGAGTGGTTGACGACAACAGTAGTAGGGGGATTTAGAGTATGCGACTGGAAGAACAGGGACATGGAGGACCACAAGTAGGATGACAACTAACAATGATGGATTGAGGGAAGGATTATGTGGAGACAATCACCATCTCAGAGGAGGATACAATCGGAGCATCACTTGTCCTCGGATACAACCCTAGCAAGAGAGGAAATGACGATAACAAGAAAGTTGAGGCAAGAACTGAACCCTAACACAGATAAAATACACATACACAAATATATATATATATATATATATATATATATACCATGGCGTCTCGCATTTCGTTCGGCTTCGGGATTTACTCGCATTGCGTAATCTCGCGTCGACTGCTTCCATTCGCGTCGTCTCGTGTTGCGGTCACGTCTCGTCTGGCTGCCCGCGTCTCGTTTGTGATAGAGCCGCTCGACATTTGCGACCTGCTTTTGCCTGCGTCTCGTCTGCGACAGAGCCACTCGACAGTCGTCTGCTCAACTCTGCCTCTGGCGTCTGCGACAGAGCCGCTCGACACCCCTATTCATGCAGTTTCTCACTGTGCTGCAGGTTGGCACTGGCTGTTGTAATGGCCTCAGGGCTTTCCTACGCCGTCGCCGCCCTCACCGGTGATAACTCCGCCAAATCCTCTTATGCTACAGTGGTTCACAAACGCAACTCCCCTTTTTCATCTCGCAGATAGTGCAGTATTCCCGCATATTTATAATGATTCTGTAGCAGGAAATGACGATTGCCATCTCATCAAAAAGTAGAGAAAAAGAGGGCAAACCATCAATTTTCTTCTCTGACGCTGAAATTTCAATTCGTGCAGGAAAATACAAATTTACACTAGTTGGAAAGTTCCAATTAGGTCAATTAGGTTGCCCTAAGATATGCCCTAAGATAGAGATCATCAGGAAAGTTTTTGAAGATTTCAAATTGGTTGAGGATTGGCAGGTGGGTCATTTCGACGGAAGACATGTTATGATACAGCTGAATACAAAAGATGATTACACGAGGATTTTCATAAAGAAATTCATCACAATTGAGGGCAAACATATGAAATTGCTTAAATGGACCCCTAATTTTGATCCCAGCCAAGAACCCCCAATTGTACCTATCTGGTTCTCATTACCTGAGCTCAAACTTCATTTCTTTGACCTATCTATCTTATATGCAATTGAGACTATCCTTAGAAAATATTTGCATGTAGACTTACCTACAGTTCATTTCTTAAGACCCTCTATTGCAAGGATTTTGATTAAACGAGATATTACACTACCAAATGTAAAAGAAGTCTGACTTGAATCTGCTCACAATGTTTATTGACAAAAAATCATTATAGAACAAAAATCATACTACCGCAAGCACTGCAAGATGTTTGAACTCCCGTAGAAAAAATGTTTCAGATTACACTCACAGTTGGGAACCAATAGTCAAAAGCAGGAACACACTATTAGTGCACCTCATGTGCCTGAACGCACTCCCAACAAACATGATAACAACCAACTTGAGGAGGGAATCATCACTAGACACGAGTTGGTGTCTGCCCCTGGAATCCCTTCTCCTGACCATACTACAACGGATAATGTTCGAACTGAAAATCAGGATAGTCCCGCAACTCCGCTTCAGGAAACATCAGGTGTAGAGGTAACAATTCATACTTCACATACACTGGAACCTATCGCTGTGACAACGTCTGCCTTTACTCCTACTGCGGTTTGAACATCAAATCAGATCGAGGATCACATGAGCCAGTCTTCAGATGAAGAATGACGGGTTTACACTTCTCGACGGAAGAAGAAGGCTGGGGGCAGACTCCAATTTGGAAACTTAATGGATGATACTTTGGTGACTCCTGACAATGACACGACTCTTCAAAGTTTATTATTTCGTTCCACTTCTTAAATTAAAGGAAGAGGCATGACTAAACTGGCTAGTCCCTAGCTACTTGTTTTCTGCATGTTTTAAATTTGTTTTACATTTTATTGAGTCTATCTGTATCTTTTGTTGGGGTATTGCTGTACTTGTATCGTATGGGTAGGGTGCCTCTTTTGGGCTCTTCTCATACAACATTTATGTATCATTTTCTATTTCACTAAAATCAGCTCATGGGCTTTGCAATATATATATATATATATATAGATATATATAAATAAAAAGGAATGGCCAGAGGTTGTTATACGAGCCTCCAACCACGCCTAATTTGCCTAACAATTTGAGTACACCCTCTTTAAAGCTCACGTCGCCGAGGGGGATTCGAACCCCTGACCTGAGGGGTCTTGCACCA